TAACTAGTTCTTGATGTTGGATACTCGTTTAAAAGCAATACAAGAATAATCATATGACAGACATTGTCTATGATAATATTAGGCACAGTAGTAGTTAATTGAGGTGGCCTGACTATTTTCTTAAAAATATGATAGTAGTATAATCTATAATGTACTAATAAAAATATTTCAGAATATTATTTAAATTTTCCATTAAATTTATTAATAATATTGTTATGTAAAAATATTTGAAATTCACAATTAGCTTACAGTATTACAAATAATAATAACTACGGGTTCCGGCTAAATCCATCTTCAAGCTATACTATTACAAAAATAAAAACTTAACATACAATACGTACATTTTCAAATGTAGTTTTTTCCTATATTTTTTTGAAATGTATTTAAAATAATCTGGTACTATTTTTTTATTTATAAATAATAATTAAGCTAATTATCTTTCATTTATTGAGTGAGAAAATAAATATTATTTACAAATAAGAATTCTCTACAGTTTATTACAATATTGAAATTTTCCCAACTTTAGTTATAAGCCATGAATAAACATTGACGATTTTGTTTGATCTAAATAATCAAGCCAACTTGAGCCTTTTTATTTGTATTATTTTATATTTATCTCATGTACCTAACGGATTCACAGTTCACTTAAATTAACTCAATTCATCTCATATCGCGTTCCACTGAACTAAACAATAATCAACAATAATTATTATCTCTTTTTTGCAGTGAATTACATACTAGAAATATTTTGAAATTTTCTCTCAGTCGTCCGATGATGATGGATTGCATTGCCCATTTCGAAACGTCTTGATCCTTTCGAGTGCTGTGGAAACTAATTGGCACGTTTTCAGATTAATCATTGGTATTTATTTGTATTCATTGCGTTCCTCATATAAGTACACCGTATTATAATAATTATACGCGTGCATGCACAAAGTCATAACCGACTTGTATATAATAAATAATACATAAAACTATTTTTAATAACCCTGAATTCATTGAAGTGTGCGTAAAAATGTACCTAGGTACATTAGTAAGGACTAATAAAACCAAATAACAACTACCTATGGTAATCTGGTCAGTATATTAACGTTTTCCAAACCGAGCAAAATGTGAGTTAACGACACACAAGCACAGCTAAAAATCGTACTTTATCATTTTATATCTACAACGTTACTTCTTACCAGTTATACCGTTCCGTCAAAACACAGTAATTATATTACATGACTTATGTTTTGTAATTTATAAAACACATGGGATAAAAGCAAATTGAATGTCTTAAAGCGTAGACTCTTCGGATTTCCTACTGCATACGAGTGAAAAGAATTTACAAAAAAATTGCATTTTAAACTTCACTATCATTAATTTTACTAAGTTTTTTTGCAATTAGTTCTTATACGCTAAATAATCATCAAGAGCAAACATTTAATGAAATATCTTGAAGACCCTAATTGGCTGTAGGCCATAATGCAAAAACATGTACTTTAGCAAATGTATTTATTATTATAGTTATTAGCCAAGTATAGCGAGTACTCGGGAAAAAATATAATTAATAATTTTTAATTATATAACTATTTGCTACAGTTTTTTTTAATACCTACATCGATACATGCCTCTCATACATTGAAGTTATGCCTAAGAGTTAATGTTTAATTTTAGTTTTAATCTTATAATGACTGTGATAAATGGTTTTTACAACGAATGATAGATGCGACATCTAGAAGATATTGTTTTTTTGTGCTTAAAATAGTTATAAAAAACATTTTGTTTCTAGAATAGAAGTTGAAATTTTTTTTAATCACAGCCGTATTTGGAGGAACGGCTAAAATTTATTCTCAGGGGGTCTTAGTTTGCCCCTCCCAAATACGCTTACAGTTATTTTATTGCCTATTACTGTGCACGTGTTCAGTGTGCCGTGACAAAAAAGATTTAAGCAGATTAGTAATTCCGTTTTGGGTGGTCTTGTGACTGTTACAGTTAATAATAAACTACAACGTTATCGCGATTTTCATCTAAGGTATTCTGTTTTATTTATATTGTTTGTCTGTAAATTTTGGTGTATTCTTTACATTATCAACAATTAAGGAATTATTTTATTTTACTATTATAGACTAGAAAAATGTCGAGCGACCTGTTTGGTAGCCGATACTTAGTTTTTATTAGGTCTAAATTGGCTAGTCGGCAAGTCGACTGCGCTTGTTGCATTTACACACAATGGTGTGTTCTAGAGTCAGATCAGATTACTTATCATGCCTACCTCTTGTATAATATTTCTTTTATTCGTGAAGGTTGCGGCGAGCCCGAATGAAAACTGTAGATAACTGGTAAGTATTAGTTTTGGAGTAGGTAATGTGTATGTGTTCTTTTTCGTCTAATAATTTCCATGTTATACAATATTTTTTAATTTCTCAAAAATGTTTTTATATTTTCAGTATTTTGTTGGGTGCTATTTGATACTCAAATGTGTTTCGGACTATTCAGTTAAAAACATGTACGCTCTCTTCCATGCCCTAATAATTATCATTTATAACAGATTGTGGGTTGTTGGCGTTTAATGTTACTGTAGTCGAGATACGCCACCTTTGTTATTATTATTAGATGGGTACATAATAATATTTTTAAACATTATCAGGCTAAATGTAAAAAGATGATATTTGCTTCAAATGTTAAGATCAGCTGTGGTCAATACTCAATTGTTAAATATATACTCTATAAAAAACTGTTAAGCAAACTTATGTTTAAATATATAGTAAAGATATAGCCTGTTGTTAGCGCTGAAGATGACAACATCGTTGTCGTAATAAGTGTATAATTATTATGGTTTAGGGTTTCAAGTAGATTTTATATCTTTACTATATATACTCTATATATTGGTGAGCCGTTTATTTCTAAATGCTAATTGCTACCTCTTAAGCGCCATGGATAGCTTAGATTAAGATTATTAAGGGAGTATCGTCAGTGATAATGAGGGACGGCGCGTACGCAGTCCCAGCTAACAAAAATTGTGCGCCCGAGGTATCCACATTAGGGATACTCGCAGGGGTCAACCCACTCTAAGTGCAATGAGTAGGCCTCACCCTGGAGGAACCGCCTAAGTGATCACGGTTGACCTCCACGCCAGGTAAGTATGCTAGTTACCCGTTTCCTGTTGGGTTAAATGCGCGTTTTGGCCTTTTAAGCCGATCAGTAATGGTCAACGTCATTCTTAATGAGGCACATGGTTCGAGGTCGTTATATTTTCGCATCGAGCCTATAAAAAACCAAAAGAGTCGATTGAGACGTATAACTTATTCATTAAGGTCCGAACATTGTCGGTTTTACGCTAAGTTTAAGTACTCGAGTCGGTTGTACGAGCGACGTTTAAAAACTGTCCACGTTCAACGCCATCTGTAGGCAGAACCGAAAACTATTCAGCGAGCGACGGACTGGACGGGACGGTAGAATGACATAATATACTGACAAATTAAATTTTGACGAATTATGTACATAAAAACACCTTTAGTTCAAAATCGACCTGTCGTTTAATTAACATACTAAAACTTCCTCTGCCAATAACTTGTGAGTCACCCTTAGTTACATCCACTTAAAATATTACTATTGCTATTCTACACACACGGTGTCAACTCATATAACAATAATTATTGTTCCGATACGTACCTACAAGAATAAACCAGAAGTCACTTTTTTCAACATCGTTTTATCGGGTTTATACTATTTAGCTTCTATTAATTATTATAAAATCACATAAATGTATACATTTTATGTTTTTACGCTGTTTAAACTCTAAACGATACTACATATAACATAGGCACAATATGCGTTTGTTCAATCATTGGAAATACACAATGAGATACCCCTGATGTACATCCCAACATCCACAACACTCTCATTGAAGAACTACATACTTTCCAATATGTTGGATTAACGGTGTCAACGCATGGAATATAAGTGCATGATTTGCAACGAATTCAATACATATTAAAGTAATACAATACACGATTTATGACTCAACTTGAAGGCACGTCCAATTTGCCAATTTAACCTAAGTACCTCGTTGAATTACTGATGAACACATTTGTGTAATTCCACGAAAAATCAATTTTATGTTAATTATTGCATTTTATGACCACACTAGTTCTGTATGAACTGAAACAAGAACATTACTTTAAATGTTGATATTTATATGCAGCCAAATGTGAGTTTTCAAAATTACATTAAGCTCAATCATAATTTTATTGACTTTAAGAACACGAAGCGTTTACTTGAAGTTTTATTGGAAAACATTGCAATTATCATCAGCATTGGTAATGCATTTAATTTTCCTTGTACAGCCAATACGATTCACTTGTTAAAAAAGTATGCCCTTTTGACTCTATGACAATGTTTAAGGAAATTATCGTAGTACGCTTGAATGTGCTCTTTTTTTATGGCAAAGAAACACAATTTTATCTATTTAAAACGATGTTACAAATGTAATAGTAAAATATCCATACATAAAAATCTATATAAAACAAGATACATAAAATTATAAATGTTTTAAATTATTTTTACGATAATTGCACAGATTGGACAGTTATTAAATCCAATTTATTATATTTAATATCATTGCAATGGGTTTAAATAAAAAAAAAAATTCAAATTACTAATGTACATCTAAAAGTATTACAGTTAATTTTTTAAAACATCGCAATAATATAAAAAAGTTGAAATTATTAGGTAAAGAAAAATAATTGTCGTCCTTGTTTTACAATTAAAATTTAGTAATAGTGATAATAATAATAAAAATCTCTTGCTGTACAACTTTTCCACTAATAAAATACAATAAATATCAATGTACTTAATTATAATTTTAAGTTAATATTAAATTCAAAATCGCTTATTATAATATACTGGCATTTCAGATAATATTACATTAAACCTAAACCTTTTTATATACTTTCTCAAACGTTGTAAATTAACTACTTATATAATGTATTATAATAGTAAACATCATTGTTATTGAACTTCAAAACATAGATGATTTCACGAATAGGTTAAATTTAGAAATAGTTTCTAAGCGATTTATACAATTTTCAAAATAATGATTATGGAAATAAAAAGATATTTAAAAGTTTGAGCTTTTCTGTAACACTTTAAATTTAAATTTGTAGTTATTTAAAACAAAAAATAGGAATTAGATATTAATTTAAATAACTTCAATAGTGTCTAGTGGTAACCATTTTGAACTTTCTAATGCATCCCAAAGATTATAGTCTTGTGAAATGAGTTCTTTATTTAACGCATCGACGTCGATTGTCTTTTTATAATCTGAAAAAGTTCCAAAATTTGTTTGATTAACAAATTTTAAAATATACATAAACTTATATCAACTGATTAGTTGACTTAATGTTACTTACCCACAAGAGTAAGGTTTCCACTGGTTTTAACAGCTGGCGTTTCATTCACCGACTCTGGTTTTGGTACACATTTTTGATTTTGTGTCTGATTCCACATGGAATATCGATGCCAGTAGTTAGTTTCGAAATATTGTCCATAATCCTGACTTGACTTGTATCCTTGAGATTCATTCGAAGCGCTGAAACAGTACAAGTAGTGAATATGATAATATCCTCATTGAAACTCGATTAGTCAATACTAATTGTAATTACAAAATTTAAATAAAAACACAAAAAGTGTATTTTCTTTCAAATAAATACCATGGAATAAGATATTAAAAACTTCCGTTTTAAATGAATTGGGAATTTCGATAAGGGCTCATTTCGGAAAATTAAAATTTTTCAGGAAACTCAAAAAACTGATTTTCTTTTACATGTCCTTTTATTTTTATGAATTTTATTAATAACATTTTAAGATGTTATCATCTTCAGCGCTAACAACAGACTCTTAAATATATAGTAAAGATATAAAATTTACTTGAACCCTAAACCATAAAAATTATACACTTCTTGTGTACACGTATTACGACAACGATGTTGTCATCTTCAGCGCTAACAACAGGGTTAATAATAAATGTAATAGTAAATGTCTAAATCATAGGCCATAATTTATTAACATAAATAGCAGAAGCAAAACAGTAATTTAAATAATAATAGCGTAAAAAAAATGTTGGAATACTAAAACTAAAAAACGGAGATAATGGTTTCTTTTTACATTTAATTTATAATAAACTTTACAAATCGAATAACTTATCACCATTGACTGTGATAATAGTAAGTTTAAAATAAATGAATATTTTGTTTATAGTTAAAAAAAAAAAAAAGAATCTAATAAAATAGAAATCCAGCCAATGATAGTAAAACAGTCTAAAATTCATGACATGAAAAAATTGTTTTGTAAAAATATATTTATTAACAGTGTACCAATTTCAAACACACTTACGTCCTCTTCCCTAATCTTAGGCAGAGGACTAATAAACAATTAATTAGGTTGAATATTGATTTATAAAACTTACAATTTTCAAAAAGATCTTAAGTTAAAGTCAAAACTGTTATAGCTGTGATTTATTAGTATAATAACTAAGATTCTTTATTTTAACTGACAATCAATAACGTTTTCATTATTACTATTGTAATTATAGGATCACGTTTTACTCACTCCACGATGATTTTAGAGCAAAATGAAGTAAACATTTTTTTGACATTTTGGAAGAAATATCATATCCAATTAAATATTTTTTAATATTTAATAATGGAAAAAAAATTGAACTGGTAATAGTTTATTTTTTAAACGGTTATGGCATTCACTTCAAAAACACATTTTATTTTGATTTCATAATACAAGCAAAACTAGCATGATAAAAACTTTTGGGTGTATAACGTCGTTTTTAACACTAAATTAGGTTATTAATAATAAATTCTTCTTCTCTACTAAAGGCCTTGCCTTGTCGTTGCAAATCTGGTTTTTCTCATTCTTATGTTTAACATTCATTGCTTGATCTTTGGGAAAATTAATGCAGTGGTTTCCCGTTGCCTTCTGCATCGCAATGGCATCTCCTATTACTAAGGGATGTTATTCAAGCAGTGCTAGCCTTGGGGGGGGGGGGGCGCAGGAGGACTGAGTATCTCAACTAATTTTTTGGATATTCTAGCGTACCCCTCCTTCTTTTTTAAAGGGGAACGCATAGGACGGGTTGTTATTTAGTCTTACCTATATTTATAAAGTTACTGAACTTAAATGTTTGTGTTAAATATATAAATCTTAAAAAATGTTCTAATATTTACAAAATGTATTGATATCTCATATCTGATACGTAAATTTTATTTTACTATCAATATTTCATTATCACTTATCAGTGACTACGCGGCGGCAAAACGTTTCCCGTTCATGCCCGTCAATCGTCATGTTGTTGGTCTCGTTGCGAAACGTTACCGCGATTTGATGGAACTAATCGCTCCGTTTGCCCGTTTAAACTTTAAATACGCTGTCTAGAAAAGTACCGTCATTAATTAAATACCGGGCGATTACAAAAGAATACGTCGGTTTCAAATATTTGTATTTTGTAAACGGTACAAGCTACAGAGTTGCACGACCTCTTAAAATGACCGCTATAATCTCAAGTTTTTTTAAAAATAAAAAAAATCATAAATGTTTAATGTGTCCTCCTTGAGTAACCCGAACAATGTCAAGTCGGTATGCAAATACCTCTGTGGAGCATGTTAGTAGTTACTGTCTGCACGGCCAAAGTTATGTGTGCCTTCAAATCTTCAATGTTCACAAGCAATGGCGGCACAAAGACTTTCCCTTGACGTATCCCCACAAAAATATCACATGGCCAATCTTCTAACATTTAAAGGAAAGAGTTGCCTGTAACAGTGGCTTCATTAAAATAAAAATGGTCTATACACTTTCTCATGAGACATTGTGCAAAACACGTTAACTTTTGGCGAGTCTCTTAAGTGTTCCAGGGTTGTGTGTGGATTTTATTCTAGCAGTAACCTAATCTAACTTGAGGTTACAGTGGCCATTTTAAGAGGTCGAGCAGCTCTGTAGTTTATACCGTTTACAAAATATAGATTTTTGAAACTGACTTATTCTTTTGTAATCACCCTGTACAATTGTACTTATATTTACAATTAATCAATCGTACCGTGGAATCTTTTAAATGAAGATTAAAGATTTAAAAAAATGAAAAATGATTAAATTATATAAAAAAAAGTTTGTAACTGTTTGTAATAAGACAAGTTATACTTAGATCATTTTTCTATTATTCTGTTTTGTTTAATGGTTTTTTATTAATGTTTCACGACATTAAAGGGGGGTGTAGTACCTCTACTACTTTTTTCTCAAGTCAAGCACTGTATTCAAATATAGATAAATCTATACTTGATACTAACAATGTTGCTGCCCATTGCTAGGTCCATTTTGGTCGCCTTTTACAAGGGCATGGACTGCCGTGGGTGTATTCTGGCCCCCACCCACAGGGGAATAATAATAAATATGGACTAAAAAGATGTATAAGGCATTTCAATTAAATTGAAATAAGAGCTTTTTAGGACTGTTAACATATTTTTATGTTTTAAGTTTTTATCTTACACAACAACGTGACGTTCTGATTTTGGAATAACACTGCTGACTTTAATAGGTTTAGAACCCAATCCTGGAAATCCATTCATGTTGTTAAGACAGTGTTTTTGTTCTTCTTCACTGCCAAATCGAATAAATCCATACCCTTTGCTATAGCCAGCACTATCCAATACCACTGTAAGCACGCAATAAATTATTACAAAATTATAGTTTTACATTCACAAATATCACCTTTTGCTGTACGTATGGACTGATAGCGACATGCAAATGTTTTATACAACTGATAGTCATCGACATCAGAGCTTAGTTCGCCTAGCCATACGGAGAAATCTCGTTCACTCACTCCAGTTTTTCCTGGATTTCCTGCATGGTTGAGTTTAAATCTAACAGGCTGTAACAAACACTCACATTTTATAAAATAAACTTATATTAATTCATAATTTTTATACTCTTTATTTTCAAGTCATTGCAGTTTGCACAAACAATTATTAGTCATTGGACAAGAGCATACTGAAAATCTTCTTAATGATACGTCAGTTGTATGTAATAATTCAAGTATTTACAAATAGTTTAATATTAGATAAGCAATATCATAAACAAATTCAATCGTTGTAATAGCCAAATTGCACATAAAAAAGTGATTTTTAAATATTTTGTTTAATGATTCTACAATATACCTAAAATAAAGTAAACCTGTTATACTATTCTACTAATAATTTATATTTGATTAAAATTCTTTAATAGTAGCATTTCAACAACTATACAAATTTATAAATACGATGTAATTTTTTTTTTTTACTAGGTACTTAAATAAGGTATTATTTATAATGAACTGTGTAATAATGAAAAATTAATAAAATATATTACTAATAACATTTTAATAATTTAAGTATCAACAAAAAATGAGTAAAGTAACAATTTTACATTTTCAATAATAATTTATTAAGTTTTAATTTTAATTTAATTGTATCTAGTTATAACCACAGTCTATAATTTATTTTAGATAGGAAAATATTGGATTATTTTTAATGACTGTGTAATCACAAAATTATTAGAACTTACAGGATTAGTGCCAGGAATGTATTTTCCATTAAGTTTGTGCATTACAGATACTGGATCATAAAAGTCAACAAACGCATATCCAGCAGTCTCTCCAGTATTTTTATTTCTCATCAATTTAACATTTTTTGGATACTCGCCCATTTTTTGAAATGCAGCCGTAATAAAACTCTCGGTCATATAAGGTTCTAACTGTAAAATAATAATCACATTAAGAAATGTACTTTTTTAAATGTCACAATAAACATACACTACCCATCCACAGACTGGTGACGTTTTGACTGGGAGAAGAAACCTTAGGTTGTTGAACCGGCACGTTTTGACTTATAAATGTTGTAGCATTTTGAGTCGTCGGTGGTACGTTGTACGTATTTGTCACGGCGGGCGGTGGTTGGCTATAATTGTACATTTGATAATAGTTTTGAGGGTATTGCTGGTATTGTTGATTGTATTGGGGATATTGCTGTGGATACTGATTCGAATACATGTTCAACGACTAAACAATTTAACCGACAAAAACAATTTAAGACAATAAAAAAATGGGAAAATTTATAAATATATATCTAATTATGAAAAGTACTGTAAATCAAATAGTTACAGCTGTAATTTATAGCACTCTTTTTTTTTAACCGGAAATGTATTGAAAAGTAACGGCATAAGCGAATAACAAGTATTTTGTAAAAACTACACAAGCACATTCGGCATTCCAAAGAGTTACTGCTATATACTGATAACGAGATAAGTGTTAACAGTTAACACCGATGATGACAACCGAAGTTGATAAAGGAAAGACATTTTAGATTTCCAATCGTTTACTGTTTTGTTTGTATTTGCAATGCGGTCAGGGTAGGTACAAATTTCAATCTACAATTCATAAATATTTATTTTTCCTCCAATTTTTTTCATAAAAGCATTTACATTTGTTGTTGATAATATGTATTGAAAAATAAAATCGCAATTTTTACATTTCTTGAAAATAAAACTACTCATCACTCAGGTTTGAATTAAAATAGAGAGGTATGTATAAATATAGTATATATGCTAAAGGTATTTTTACTGTTAGTTACAATAATACGCATCTTCTTTTATAGTGAAACCTGTGTAGTCTGTATCGCTTGAGGCCAAAAGGAAACTGTTTTCTGATTTTTTTAGGGTCTGTCTTTGTGGATTCACTGTGATTTATTCTCTAAGCACAACTGCACAAACCTAGTCCACCATAATCTCCCTAAATTAACCTTTCATTTGTTATAGTTGATAATTTGTCAATTTTATCATTATTGTTTACAGAATATGAGTGGGTTGCTTGACGTAAATAATGCAACAACATCATTGTGGCTCGTCAAGGTACCAAAGTATGTTGCCGACAAATGGGATATTGCTCCGAGTAGCTTAGAAGTTGGAAAAATCAAGGTCCAAAAACATCCAGGCAAAAGACCAGATATATCACTTCACCTATCAGAAGCTGTTTTATGCTTGGAAGGTGATAAAAACACGGAGCCTATTCCCAAATCTTTCAAATTAGATGTATCACACTTTACTGGTCAAACTATTGGTGTATTATCAGAATATAGTATACCATATAACCCAGATGCAATTGTTCAGGAAACAGATAAACTAAGTATAGAAGGAAAAATCAGCCAAAAATTAGAATGTCGGCCAATTGGAGATCAAGTAATGAGTTATATTTTTCTATGTGCTTTCAATAACAAGTTTTTAATGCTAAATTTTATTATTAGGTGTATATGGATTTGAAAAAAACAGCTATAAAAAAAGCACACATTCCTACACGACAAGTGCAGAAATTAGACAAAGTGGTCCAAAACTTCAAGCCTATATCAGATCATAAACACAACATCGAGTATAATGAGAAAAAGAAGTCTGAAGGCAAAAAGGCACGTGACGATAAAGATTCTGTTATGGCAATGTTGTTTAAGGCATTTGAAAAACATCAATATTACAATATCAAAGATTTAGTAACATTAACTAAACAACCAGTGGTGTACTTAAAAGAAATTTTGAAAGAAGTGTGTAATTATAATCTTAAACATCCACACAAGAATATGTGGGAGTTAAAACCAGAATACAGACATTACAAGGAACAAGACGAACCTATGGAGACTAGTTAATTATGTGTTTATTCGTAAATGATCTTTAATAATGATTCTTAATTTAATATTGTAACTCAAGATAATTAATGATCTTAAAATTAAAACAAGTTTTTGTATGGTTTTAAAAAGTAATTGGAAAAATCAATTTTCATACACCTTTTTTTTTGCGTATTAATGCGTACCTAATTAAATTTTGAAGGACATACACATTATAATCGTATTACAGTGTGAGTTTTAAATAATTGTATACACTTTTTGTCTCAATTATATTCGTTAAAACTACTTAAAAATGTATCTTTGATTTTAAATTTTACTGCTGTAGAAAAGAGCTTCTTTAGCATAATTTGTATTATTACTAAGTAATAATTATGAAATATATCTAGTAAGTGATGGCTTGCTGTATGGAAATTTAAAAAAAAGTCGTGTTTAATAATAATAAGCAAGAAAGCTAGCTTGTATATTAAAAATGAAATTTTATTCACAAAATAGTTTTGAGTTTTGACTGAGAAGTCTAGCGTGAAGCGTCTACATAGTATTGTAAAATTCTTTCAATTTAACTTGTAACCACGGTCTACGTAATCAAAGACAATACATCTGAACAAAAACCGTTTAGTGATAACAGTGATAAAAAAATTGTTTAAAATAAAAATAAGTGATAACTGATAAGGTAACATAACCGATAACTGCTGTCTGTTATACGTAACGCGTTTTCAAAATATAAATTTTATTGTAGTTAGTATTTTGCTGAATTTATTGTAAAACGTGAAATTGATATCCAATTTAAATAATTTTCTACGTATAATATACTGGCACCAATTTTAAGGAAATACACAACATGAGTTTAGTAACTAAATTTCTCCCAAAAAAACTGGGAACGCACAACGGTCAATTTCATTGTGATGAAGCATTTGGTTCGTATATGTTGAGATTACTGTATCCAAATTTGGAAATAATTCGTACACGAGACGAGAATTTATTGAATGAATGTGATATTGTCATTGACGTCGGCGCTGTGTACGACCATAGTAAACGTCGGTACGACCACCATCAGAAATCGTTCAACCATTCTATGAGCACATTGGTTCCGAATGCCAAATGGACTACAAAACTGAGTAGTGCAGGGCTTGTCTATTGCCATTATGGCCGTGAAGTATTAGCCAAGGTAATTAACAAGGACATACAAGAGAATGATTTAAACACTATTTATTTAAAAGTATATGAATCATTTGTTCAAGAAATTGATGCTATTGATAACGGCGTTTCTATATGTGATGGTATGCCAAAATACAATATAAATACTAATTTGAGTAGTCGAGTAGGCACATTGAACAAACAATGGAATCATGTTGGTGAATTTGATGAAATGGCTGCGTTTGAAAAAGCAATTAAAATGATTGGTGCTGAATTCACCGAAACTGTACTTTATACATTTCAAAATTGGTTGCCGGCCAGGACAATAATAGTTAAATCGCTCGAGAAACGATTCAAAACTCACCCATCTGGGCGTGTATTAGAATTAATTACTTTTTGTCCGTGGAAAGAACACTATTTCATACTGGAAGAAGAACTTGGTGATGACCTTAATCCTAAAATTGATTTTATCATTTTTAGCGATTCTAACGGGAATTGGAGAATTCAAGCTATGCCTCTAACACCTAAATCCTTCGAATTACGAAAACCTTTACCAAAGAGCTGGTGGGGATTACGAGACAACGAACTTAGTCAAGTTTCCGGAGTGGATGATTGTATATTTTGCCATGCTACTGGTTTCATTGGTGGTAATAAATCTAAAAATGGAATAATACAAATGGCAGAAAAAGCAATTGAATGGCAAGAACTGGACAGTTGATGTTAAATATTTAAAATGTAATAAATATTAGCTGTATACTTACAAACTTTGTTATTATTTATTATATCAAATACAGTTTGCAAAATGTTGGAAAAAAAATTTATTAAAATCGGCTATTTAGTCTAGTCTATTTACTTAGTTGTTAAGATTTGTTAAATTTTCATTGTTTCTAGTTATTTGGTCATTCAGTAGTCATTTTTTTTAATTTTATATTTTTAAGCTTTAAATATAACATTTTACAATAAATCAAGGTAACTTGACACTAAGATTAGTGACTGTTTATATTTTTATAACACATTTATAATGCAAAAATACAATTGTGCTGTAACAAAAATAGTACATAATAGATAGTATGTTTAAAAAAAAACATGAATACCGAAACTAGCAAAAAGGACAATTGGCAGTTAAATAGCATCATTGTAATAAAAATAATTTAAACAAATATGTTTTGTCAGAAATACTGTTGTTTAGGATAATATACTGTCAGGTTTATTTTTACCAATTTACTACAAAAGGAATAAATGGAAATCATCACTTGTCCAATATTGATCATTCTCAACCTCGTAATCGGATGTAGAACTTTTGCATAGGTATATTTGAACAGTTCAATGCAGTATATAAGGAAACTAATAAAATGTAAAAATTGTATTATATTATTTCTTTTTTATGTACTTTGGTAATCATTACTTGAATACAATTTCACCTATTACCTACCTAAGTTATTACCGGATTTTTACTTCTTACTGAATATGAGGATTTATTAAGTAGGGAATTAGATGAGTAATGGTGTAACAAAAAAAATCTAAGACGAGTACCTAGTTATGTTGTAAGTAATAAGGTTGAAGTGTTGAACAGTCAAAGATTAACAATCGTTATAATTGGTATTTAATTTATCTTTATCAAAACAAATTTAAACTAATGAACAGTGGATCTTAATACAAGTGCAATTATAAAATTTTTTATAAAAAAAAATCATGATTTTGTTGAAATTTGTCTCAAAAACATAACGAGGCTTTCTTGGTTAAATGGACACTGTGTGTAAGTCTGTCCACATTCGCCATTTCTCCCAGTCTCTAAAGCTGACTTGAACTTGGAGCCATCTATTATAAAGTTCATTACAGAACTTCTACAAAAGTAAAATAAATGTTTTATAGATAAACATTTCTTAAAATTGTATGTGTAGTACTTCATACATGGCTAAGTAAGTGTAGGTAAGGTAAAGCTGTACTTATTGGAAACTTACTTTGTTAACGCGCTTACAGCGCTATCCACAAAACTGCTAACCCCCTCAGATCTTCCTTTAGCTTGGGAGGTAGTTTGAATATACGTGCATAGTGCTTTTTGCATACATTCTGTTGTATTTATATTATATTTTGCCATCGAGTCTTCAAATTTCTTAGCTAAATCGCTTATTCCTGGGATAAGTTCATCACCTACAAAAAATAATGTTTAACATCATTTTTAAATTATAACATATCTAACCACTATCAGTCGTATCTAATCACTATCGAGGTCTACAAACATCGTCCTAAAATTTTGGAAGAACTAAAAACCGCAATTAATGAAGAAATCGCAGCAATTCCACGGGAATTGACGGAGCGAACTATGCGAAGTTTTTGTTTGCTCCTTGATGCCTGTGTCGCCACTCGCCAACGAAGGTCGTCGTATGCCAAAAATGGTTTAGCACACTTAAATCGCACATTCTATAGAATTTATTAAATTAAAAAAATGTTGAATTCGAGTAAGCTTTCGACTTTTTATAAAACTTTACTTTCGTGTCCTGACTTATGCCGGACCCTGTATATACCGAAGGAGTGAAGTAACCTGTAGCAACTTAGGTATATGGAACACACACAAATACATATTTTCTCTATGTATTCTTCTTTAAATTCCATAACAAAATACATAATATTAATAAATTATAAATATTATTAACAAATAATTAAGAAAATTAATTCCATAAAAAAAATTAAATATATCCGAGTGGAAAAATAAAAAGTTTTATGATAAGTATTTTTGCATGTTTTATTTTGTTTTCAGTTTTTATTTATTTTTAGTTTCTTTGCATTAACCTAATATACTCGTATTTATAAATTTGAACGAAGTTTTGTTTAAAAAAAATGACTTAAAAATCAAGAAGTATGCCCCAGATGTGCCCCTGTTTCTCGGTATCTCTCTGACTATAGCACTCGTGTACTGTACTATTAATAGATATAAAGTAGAACTTAGAAGATACACTGTTTTTTTACGTGAAAAAAAATTCAAAAATGGAGTTCGGGAATTCTTTAGAATAACAATACTTATGTTAATTTATACAACTATTTATTGTTATAATATATTTATTGATCTATTTAAAGTGTATGCATGTTCGCTGAGAGTACTATAGTCAATAATAAATAGTAAGCCCAAACTAGGGTTAAAAACTCCCCAAATGACTCTCTTGAACCTTTGCCACTAGCATAGAGTACTATTTATGAATCGTTTAGGTCATTATACGATTAGTTATGATGTTATAAAAAAAAAAGCTAACAAAATATAATAATAATTTTCTTTAGGCTTACTTCTTCCATAACTATGGCCATAACCACTGCTACCCGAGCCAAAGAGATTGGTCGCCGAAAAGAAAATGTAGATAAGCTTCGGAATGAGTATTAAAACTCCAAGGCCGATTACTGCACCGACGATAAGTCCTCCGATGTCAAATTTCTGTGGACCATAGCTTAGCGTATTGCCATGACCATACCCCTAGAAAAAAATATGTATATGGTATATAGTAATAAATAATGTTATTATTGCAAAACTAAATATCTTATTTATAAAGTATAACAAACTAAAAAAAGGCTAAGGTATAGGATAATATGTTAAAGATTTCATAATACGGGACGTTAGCAATAATATAACTATGTAATTTTATTGTTAAGAGGAAGTCGAAAATAAGACAAACAATTAGAACAGTTTGTTCTATATTATCTAAAATAATGTAGAATAAACTATTGGCTATGTTAAACAGGATGAATGGAGTTACTGGTAAAAGCAAAATAAGGAATTAATATATAATAAATTAAGGACCTAGTGCTTCAGAACGGGCCAAAAATTTATAATAATTAGAGTAAATATGTATATTGAGATGATTTATGATGATGTTTTGTAAAGAGATAAAATAAAGAAGCAGCATAAGAGGGATAAAATTAAAAATATGGAAAGGGAGATAAAAAGCCAAAACAAATGGTTAAAAGTAATTGTAAATTATATTATGAGGAATGAAGACTACATCTACATGAGAGTAACTGAGCAAGTATGGAGGTCATAGAAGATGATTGTAAGTGTAAGTAGAGGAATACGATGACCAAATCAGTCTAATTGGGATTGAATGGTGAAAATATAATACAAATAATGTTATCAATAGTTGAACGATTCGTTAATATTAAAATTTAGTTTTTATAAAGTAGGTACGTAAATGTATTTAATTAAATAACACTCACGTCTAAACCGCTAGATGCTCCACTACCGAATGACGATGGAATATAACCAAATCTAGGCTCATGAGATCGTCCTGCCGTACTTGTTTTATTCTCGTATTGCACTCCTTCGAAGTATTTAACGGGACTCGGCAATACGCCACTAAAATAACAATAAAATTAGCATTTCAAAATTATATTAATAATATTGGATTAAAATTTAGATAGATCCGACTTGAACTGTCATTTGCATTAGTCATTACAAAGAGCTGTCAAGTCTGCTCAAAAATATTTTTTTCAATTTATCATAAGAAATCTAAATAAAAATCGATATTTTTCAAACGATTGCTTATAAGTATACTGAACTCCGAAAACGAAAACCTTTAAGTGTCTATTGACATTTACGGTAATTGAGTAAAAGTTTTTTTTTTTTATTAATCTTACCCGAGGCTCGGAAACTTATCTGTTTGCGTACAGTATTAAAACATTTACAAATTCACTCACTTGGATGGCATTTCAAACGTATTGGGTAGAGCGCTAACGGCCACTCGGGCCATAGCCAAAACGCACGGTAACACGACGGCAGGAGACTTTAACAGTACCTGGAACAAAAAATAAATTCAAATAATCATTAAAATACGGTTAGCCCGCAAAAAAGTATTTACCATTTTTTTTTTTTTTTGTTAATGCGACAGTCGGGTATGTAGGTATATGGTAAGTACGGTTGTGAGATAGATGCGTTCTGGTATCGACAACGGCAGTGTTTGCTTTTCGGCCGTCCCGTGTGTTTATATTGGACAGGGAACAATATACGGATGTCACGTAAAACTAGGAAAACAAAAAAAGTGAAATTTTTAATAATTCGCACTACCATGTAGTTAGCGTATAGGGACAGCTGCGTTTGTCTTGGAGTCGTTTTCGCGGACCCATTGTCGGAGGCTGTTGATGAGCAACCATTTGTGACCGGCCAGATTCCGCGAGCGGTCGAAGAAGAATACTTACGGCTACGCTATTATTATTATTTAACAGATAATATTATGACCGCCACTTTAGTTATGACTGTTGGCGTAATTTTCTTCAGTTCCCCGCACACGCGTAATTCACATAATTTACCGTATTGTGTTAACGATGTCATTGTTTGAGGTATGTACTTAAGCACATCGTGTGGCACACGGAAAGTGTCAAACTTTTTCCGGATATCGTTTCTCATGGTAATATCGTCAAGTATCGAAATTCGTCGTTTAAACGACAACTGCCAATAGATATAATATATGGATTCTCAAATTTGTTTTTTTTTTTTTTTTTTTGACCGTAGTCGTAAAGTACTTTTGTGTTGTCGAAAATATTAGAATTTTGTCAAATATTTTTTTTTTTAGAAAGCTGAGAAAATTTTACATAAAATGTGTAAATTTAAAATTGAGTTATCCAAAAAACGCTTGAAAAGAGAGCTGAAAATTAATAGAAAAAAGAACCACAGTAATCAAAATAATTGTAATAATAAATAATAATGTGTAAAAATAAGATCATTTTCCGTTTTTTAACAGACCGTTACTTTTGCTATTTCGCCAGAGTACTTACCAATACTACGGCACTCACATTCGACTTCGAAAAATATGTATACAAAATAAAGCATGGGCCGGTTAGGTTTGTCAATTTTTGTTAATTTGACATTATACTAAATAGTTTTAAGGGTCTCAGCTCGTGAAAACGTGAAACAAAAGCGATGACGTCTCGAGGTGATCGGATTTAGATATTTTTTTTTGTTTGAAAGAGGACGGTTTTCTACAATGCGCGTAGATCGCCGATTTTAATAATTAAAATAAAACAAATTATCAAAATCGTCAATTATTTTCTCATAAAGTTATTATATTATAGTTTGAATATTATGTAGTAATACCTATAACCTATACTCTACTAACTATACTCTATCCCAAAAGGTTAATGCGCAAAAACCAAAACACGATACTCCTGGTTACCAGGCATATACGAGAGTAAAATGGCTTTTGGTTTCTGCACACTACCTTTCTTATATGGGATAGAGTATAGTACCTTATAGTATTTAACAATCATGTATTTCTATATTTGATAGAGTTAACTCACGGGAAATTCGACCTTGCCGAACCGTACCTACATTATATGTTTAAGTTGCAATTATAAATACACCTAAGCTAATGGAAATTCAAGAAACACGGCATATCCTTATAAATAATATTTGTTTTAAACGCAATACATACAGCGTATAAAATTCTAGTTATTTGTCTAGAACTTATGATTTATTCAAGTATCCGAGGTTTTGTGTAATAAGCACACACATATTAAATGTATAAAAATAGGTGCGATTAATTTATTATTCTTAACCTGTAATTGATATTTGCAAATGCCTTGCGTTGAGTGAATTGCAATATTTTGTCGGTTACATCAAATACCTCGTACGTAGTAATACCTTGTGTTGACTTAATAATACTATCAATTTTTTTTATGTACCTACTTGTGATTACCACAAGGTAATCGGCCATTGCAAGCCTTCTTTTACAACCAACTTTTGCATTTTTAAATAACGATAGTACCTGGTTTAACATAAATCAAAAAAATATAAAAGCGTGGAAAATAGGCTGTAATGGGATGTAGATGAACCTCGTTCAGTCGTTTGTTTCACGTTTAAATTAGAAAATTTCACAACATTTCAATTTTCGAAAAGTCGCCATTATAATACTTTGGAAATTTGTACACAATCACTTTTGAGTACCCGTTACCTTTAAAAAAAAAAAAACGAAGATGCGAATTTGTGTGTACAGAATATTAATCGTGTAAAGCGACTATATATTTTATTGTACTAGACAACATACACAACACTGTGGTGAAATTTTTAACTATAATAGATCTAGAACTATAAGATCGTCTAATTTCTAATTAACAAAAAAATTGTGCACAACAAACAACATAACTTAGAGTAAATTAGTAGAATTGTTTTGTTGAAATAACTAACAAAAATGTATGGTGTATTAAATTTTACAATGTTTAACATCGTATAATATTAGATAATATTTCAAATTAATAAACTGTTTTTTTTTAATTTTGCATTTACAATTAGCTAAATTGACCTTATGACCAAAATGTTTAATCATATTTTTTCAGAAAATTCTGGCCCAAAGTAATTACTCGATTTTATAGTTATTGAAAACGATATTACTTGTTTATGTTTTCAGTTTTACAAACATTTTCATAAAAATGTACGTATCAAGGAAAATAATTATAATTGTTTTTTCCTAAACCATTTACGTTATTTACAGTTACTTTTGCAATTGAGTACTGTAAAATAATTACTGTAATGTCTCCCTCTTAAGTAACATACGTAGGTAGTAAGTAATACGTGAATAGGTAATATAAATTAGTAAATACACATGTTATGTATCAGCTAAAAAAATATTTTTAAATTATTTTATTTTAAAATTCTCTCCGACTCTGAGATGACCTCTGCGATTTTCGCTTCTGGTCTTTGTGGAATCGCCGTACACGAAAAAAATACACAGTTGGTCCAACTAAACTATTACCCTGCTAAGCAAAAATGCCGTAACACATAAAAACATTGTAAAAACCCAATTAAACCAATTATAAAGCCATTTTACTTAGTTGGGCCAATTATTAACTTAGTTATATCGACTAAAATTGTACTGTGTCTCTATATTACCCATAATTATTTTAGTTGGACCAACTATACGTATATTTTTTTTTTGTAGAGATCACTTTAGGTAAATGAATAATGATTAATGCGTTCATAGGCGGTAAATAAGCTTAATATAATAATCTTTGGCCGTGACCCTCAAGACCTAACACCAATATTAGTGGTGGGCGAGTTTTGTTTTTATTAGTTTTGTCTAATATCTAATCTTATACGGAAATCTAAAATTAAAAAAAAAAAAAACCAAAATAATAATTAACGCAGTTTACGAGTGAAACGTTTTATTTTTATTTATAAAGTTTAAAATTTAAACTTAATAATTTTATAAGTGTCAATTTTACTCGACAATATTACCGTAAACATGTTAAATAAAAATAGTAGTGGCAGAGTTTCAAAAACGTCTACATCGTTATTCCAAGCATTGTTTTTTTTTTTTGTAATTCTCTTCCGTTAGTGATTGCAATCGGTAAACAACACAATTCTCATGTAAAACAAAACCATTTACATAATATTTATAAGCGTTATGCCGTTAACCGTCTAATGACGTTGCGCCGGTGTCGGGTATATTGACTTCAAGTCGCACACAAATTGAATGATTATTTTGGGGCTTTTAGTCAAAATATAGCGACGGTGTGCTTTTGGAAATGAAGAACGTTTTACTATTAGGCAATGTTAACTCGTAGCATTGCAATAATATGATAAACGTCGAAGGTTTAATTTACAAATTAAATAATTGTCGTGGGCAGATATCGTAATATCGTAAACAATAGTAATAACACTTGACCTTGATGATGACTAATTCGAAAGTCTCCGTTCATAAAGAAATATTGGTCGGTAGACACAATGCTCACATACATTATTGTCCGTGCTATTATTCCTAATGCATTCGTCAAACGTCGCGTAAGATAGTCAGTTTATAGTATTATGAATAGTATAAATTATTTATTCAAATAGACTGGCTAGCAATTGTTTACTAACATCAACGACAACAACGACATTTTATGTTATGATGGGCACAAAATGCGCGGCTAAAATATTATAATTTATTTGACCTTTTTACTGTAATAGATCGTTATGCAATGTATTGTATATAAAAAAAAAACATTTGATTTTTGGTATAATAAGTCATTGAATAATTGAAACAATTATGTTTTAAGGATTTCCTCGCGTGCTACACAAAATAGAATTCGTGACTGTTGTGTGAGGTCTGTTGTGGGAAGCAAGTGGGTACAAGCAATTTTTACGTCCATCAGCCCGTGTTCGACTTACCGGATGTCTTGCACGTGTAGTGACAGTATTTAACATTGTGATCATTATGTGCCATTATAACATTGCAATTTTATGACATAATCAAACTAACGTATATCTGCATAGGTATGTATTTTAATAATAGGCAAAACCTCGACGGTACGTTTTTTTAATTATTTTTTTATTTTGCGGAAATTATAATTTCCAGCTTTCACTTTAAGTTGTCACAAAAAAATCATTAAGTACATTTGTATTATAATTGCATTGTTGTTAATGTAAAAACACACAGAGGTAAATTTGTAGAAAAAACGTTCACAAGTATCTTATTGTAATAATAAATTGTACTTGTTTCCGTTAAAGCATTACGTTAGTGATTGGAATTTTCAATTTAATCACGATAAAAGAGTTAAAATATGTCTAAAAATAAAAAAATACAATCAATTATTATATTATCAGCATATGAACTTATATGATCAGTACACGGCTTTCAATAATAAAAATGTTGAACCGACCCCCTAAGGCCAATGAGGCCGTTCATCGTCTTGATTAGTATTATTAAGATATATTACATTACATACACTAACTAAACGACTAGCATGACGTTTTATTAAATTAAATAGCTAAGTCAGTTTGTTTTTTAAATTTAATTTTGAATTACGCGTTTAAAAGAATTATTGTATTTTATACGTAACATATAATTATTATCATAGTAAACAGTCATATACATAATACATTTTTGGTTTTTGCGTAGTGTAGTGCATTACAAAAATTATTTTCAATGCCAGTCATCAAAAAATGTAATAACAACAAAAAATATTGTCCTATCCTCATGTTAATCTTATTGGTGGTCTATAAGTTAAGCGAACAAAAATTAGCCAACACTATAGAAAACCATTATGAACTCTTTTGACTGAGCAATACGTATTTGGGTTCCAGACCCAATTAGGTGTGTATAAATGTCAATCTAAAAAAGCTTGAAGTTTATAAAAACGTTAACAAAATTGAGCATTTTAATATATGCAAGCTATCGCTCAATTTTCGTTGGCACGACTATATATTAGGTATTCGTCCAACGCAAGTGTTGTAATAATGTCACGTTTAGAATTTTTAAATGTGAAAATTACAACAAAAAAAAAAAACACAAGTTCAATATTACAAAAGACTAATTGTATAATTGCACTCAATAAAACTTGCATGAATCTTTCAATAAAAAATATACAAACACTATGTACTCTGATTTAGTTGAATTTTAGAGACATTATACAACCAATCAGAGATCAAAAAATAATTAAATATACACGTATACATGTAAAATAAAATATCATAACTTAATTCAAACATCAACAAGACTCTCCTATACATGCTTATTATGTTCCCCAATAACAAATTGTACAATTATTAATACATTGTGTTGACGATGAACCAGCAAATGCGTAACAAAACAAAGGCAACAATGACTTTCAATAAAATGTGGGCCATGTGTAACCTGAAAATGAATTATTTATTTTGTTATATCATGTATCTGTTGGCCGTAACGATAGACCACCATGTGCACAGATGATTAACATCTACACGCATAATAATATTAGTGATTTTAATCGTAATCACTCACTTCTTCCACTTATTTCTAGCAGCCTTTAGTGTGTTAAGGTCGTCCTTTACAAGATATAACCTCAGTCCGATAACACAAGCCTTCGCGTACTGGTCCCACGACATGGTTTTCATGTCGAAGAAGAACGTCTTTTTGTCCTCCTCCGACAATTCGTCCCAAAGCGCTTGTGTGTTGTTGTTTCGGAAGTCCCACTGTCTGTGGGCAAAGAAAATCAAGGCGGCACTGGCTTTCTTGGTTTTCCTGTAGATGTTACCCAGGCTGGAAAACGACACACCACGGAGTGTTATTGGTAAATCGAATTTGGAAAACCGGCCAATAAATAATACTGTTTACTCACATGGGCTGTTTTCCGGTCATTTGAGCCAAAAAGTCAAAAACGTATCCGGGGATCGTGTGGAATAATAGGAACAACAAAGCGTACAAGTACGGGTTAGTGGTGGGTACGAACGAATAATACCAAATAGCGTTGATGGTCGGCCAATGGGGCAATCCGTGTTTCTTAATTACATCAAAGAAGTCGCCCAGTAGAATGGGATTTTGGCTAGAGCTCACGTAGTTGAATATTGGGGGATCCCTTTGACTGAAATCATTAATCAACACGATACACATTATTACACACCCCAAAATAAAAACACAGCACACTACCCTAATCCTTTGTTTAAAAATGTTTCTGGTGTTCAGAAACTACTATATATTATCCACTTTGTGTTAATTCGCAGTGGAAATCGATTTGCGATGTTTCGGAGTTTGATTTCCATAAAGTAAATAATAAAAATTGCTATTTTCGTGGAAGATGACAATTTACATAATGCCTAATGGTGCACTTCCAAGTTTCAACAGAGGTTATCCGCCTTGGCCCAAGTGCAAATTCTTGTTTATTTTAAAGGAAAGAGAGTTAAATATTAACAGATAATCGAACAAATATTATGACCATAGGACTGTATTTATACGTATACGAACATAAAATTTAAATAATGAGATTACCGAGAGTTGCAACACCTATGTATAATGGTAACATATTATAGTAGCTGCGTAATAATAACATTTTATTGTTATATTTTTTACTGTTCAATGTCACGATGGTCATTTGTCGTTACAAGGAAAAATGCGTACCTATAGTGTTATACTTATACGGCAAATGAAACTTACATGGTTGAAGCGGTTTTGCCGACTTTGTGAGCTGAGCATATCAACGCATTGACGGTCAAATCTACGGGCACCATGTCGACCACGTTGTTGATGTTACATTGGTAAGTGTGTAAGACTCCGGTACCAACTCCCACGATCATACCGATCGGTCCGTAAACGTTGTCGATCCAGCCTCGGACGGGCTCGTTGTAAGTCGAAATAACTGAAAGCGATGATATTTTTGTTAGGTACCACCAAAGTATTACCGGCAAGTATCAGACTTTGAACTCACCGACTGATGGTCTGAATATGCCGAACGGTAAACCGACGGATTCGTGTTTGGCCAGATCTTCGGCTAAAGCTTTTGTAAAGGTGTAGGTGTTCGGCCAACCGGCGACCAAGCTGTGAATCAAAATGGATGGACACGCGTTTAGAAATAAGTTCAATCGCATAGACTGCCGTTCTAAGCTGTTCGAATGTGTGTTATATACCTGGGTGTAATGTCTTCTAACTTTTTATCGTCATTCGCTGAAGCCACCAGAGATATGACTCCGTCGTAGTTGTATGGCGCGTCGTAGAATTTCTCTTCGATTACTTTGCGGGGGCAGTTGGCGTAAGCCGTCGACACGTACATACAAGACTAAAAGATATCACAATAAAATATGTTAACTTATTAATTTGTTAAAAATCGTTTTTGGCCATTGAGCTTGTTACTAATTAATTACGGAAAAAAGAAGTTATAATCTAAGTAATTAGAATTAAACAACGATTGGTGATACGCCGACTTATTTTGGTTTATTTGTCATTTTTAACCAACAATTACACATCCAAAGGAAACAAAGGTTGTAAGCAACATTTAAAGTGTCTGCTACACACCAATGTTTATTGACCTACTTATAAATGCTAACTGATACGAATTTAAAAGTAGAGTAGCAGCTTATATCACTACCATGCGTCACTGTGGTGAATATTATAAAATGGTTTAAAAACTCAAAATGAAAAAGGTCGTAATGAAATCTCATAATCGATTAAAACTTTTTATCTAAATTTCTTCTATAGAGATTCAACATCTCTCGTTTAGAAGGTAGGTATTCCAGGTGGTGTATTTGATTGATCAAAATGAGATAATAGTTATAAATTATAGTTTTTATAAGGAAATAAAACTACCAAAGCGGTTTTATAAGGATGGGACGAGATTAGTCAGATTAAAGAATAATGTGAGACTAATGGTTGTAATGGTTGAAGGGCGCGTCGCTATAATACCTATTATGCCGGAGTAGAACAATTATTCACCACAAGTGATCACGTGAATATTTTAATGCTAGGTTGAGTGAACTTTTCAAAATGGGTGTGTGCATTGCCTATTGGATTTGACCATATGCGTGTGCAGACCTTTTGTTAAAGAAATACATACCACCTCTTCCCTGTTCAAACTGTTTACTAAGATGAGGAAAGAGAAGCTCCACAAGGATTTGCACAAACAAAATTATCATGAAGGCTTTTTTTCCCTAGTTGACCCTTAATCAAACATTCAAACCCCTCATTAACCTTATTATTTTATGCACATCTACGAATTTGTCGAAGTCGAGTTTGTTATATAATTGATATAATTTACTGGAATTCGAGGTGGACGGCAATATTAAAAAAAGAACCGGCTGACCACTTCAGAATTTTCTTGTTTTATACGTCATTGTAACGATACACACACAACAGGAACAAAATCAAACTCGTTTTGTTACCTTAGCCTTGAAGGCATTACGTTTTACTGTCTCATATACCGGATCTTATTGCAGTTTATACCTTTGGCTATATTATTAAAACGTTTTTATTTATTCAAGTAAATGATCTTGTATGAATACCATTTATAAACTATGCGGACGTACAACAACAAAATCAACTGAAACAGACGTCTATGAAAAGAAACGCGTACCAGTTTGCCATACTCGTCTCTTTGTTAAGGTACGCCTTGAGTAACGAATAAACCTATACATTTGGTATAACAACAAAAAGCGAATACGTGAAGTTTACAAAAATTGTGTTGTAATCGTTTGATACGTTTTGAATCACCGAGTACAATGTCAAGGTTAATGTCAAGTTACTTCAAAAAATTTAAAGATTCTTGACGGTCCATCAACACTGTTGGTATCCTGGCTCGTGAATGTGATTAATGGGGTCATTACGATGATGTAATCAATTTTATTAATCGTAATTAAGAAGCTAATATTTATCCAATTAAACGATTCATTTGTAAAACTTAAATACACATACAAAGTCCAAGTCGGATGACCCGAGTTCAAAAATAACATTTAAAAAAAAAATGTTTAAAGTTTTTAAAAAACTCCTAATTCTCACTATTGACCTCTTCGATCGTAAAACGTGTCAATGTCGTTAAAACGCATTATACAAATCTATGCCGACAATGTTTGCTTTAGTATAATTGCATTTTTTTAATATTGCATAATTACCGCAGAGAAATGAGAATACCCATTGTGTTTTTTTAATAATTCCGTTGACCACTGTTGCAGACACCTGTTCAGCGGTTTACCAACAAGATATGACAATCGGTTTATGCATACGGGCCATTAACAGTTAACACGGTATTATATTATTAAGATTTATGTTCGAACTTTGTTTACCTTTAGGTTGGTCATTTCTTTGGCCAGCTTGATGATTTCCCGGGTGCCTAGCACGTTGATGTCAATGGCGGTGCGAATGTGTTCATCAAACCTAATGGTAGCCGCAGCGTGAAACACTATGTTAACTTCGTCGGCTAACTTTTGACGGTCAGACGCCGACAGGCCCAAACCCGGCATGGAGACGTCGCCGGCAACAGCTGAGATTTTGTGATAAAACTTGGGTCTTTCGTGCTTCAACCTCATGAACAACTGAAAAAAATACAACTTTTATAAACCGGCGTGGACGCAATAATATTTTTCTATTATATTTAACAGCTCGGGTAAATCAAAGCCAAACAATAGCCTCGAAGTCTATTTACAAAATCCAGGTCACTGACCGACTAGATTCTATGTATAAAAAAAAAATGCACGATTTTATCTATGCATTTATTCTACACGAAGGCGTTTTTAAGTGAAGGCGGCTTAATTTTGGAAACGCCTGGTATAGTTTGTTAAAATATCATGTTTGTTTGTCGGCTATGACAAACGACTACCGGAATGGCAAGTCTTACAAAACTTAACCGATCGCGCGAATTTTTCAATGTCCAATTTACGGTACTAACGTTTCAACAAGCATATGACAATTTTTAGCGAATTCGTTTTGTATGTATAGTGCACACGTCAAATATAGATATACCACACACAATGCCAGCCGATTATAAATAAACGATAGTAAGCGATTGTGTTGAATTATTAATCGCTTGAGATATAGTTTTCTTTTCAATGGGGGAAAAAAAATCAGACACGAGTGGACGCACTAAACCGCCGATACCCACAATAGTTTCGTAGTATATATGGCCTCGACTCAAAAAACTTATCCAAATTATGTATGCATTGTGCCTCCCGTCACGTACCCTGAACGAATGTGGTATCACGTAAGGGCCATCGTTTGGACGGTTCCAATATTGCTACATTAATGCGTTTTTTAAAAGGTATTTGTCATATGGTAGCTCAAGAGTCGTTACGACACCGGGCGTTAGCAAAAATATAAAGAAGTACAAATAGCCCAGTCCTTGCCCGTGGCCAGTGAATGTATTGTTAATTGTTATTAGATATACAGTATACACATTGCACATGTGTAGCTTGTTATAATGAGTTTTTAATGAGAAAACAGCGGTCGCTGTGCAAATTGATTAAAATATATTTGACATACATTATGCCAACAACATTAGGAAGTCGTTAATGACAGAGAAAATAACGCATTAAAACTCGATCAATATCAAATAAATTATCGCGATTGCATAAAAAAAAGAAGAAAAAAATCTGGTTTATATTCTCAAGGTCGTGTGCAATGTACATGGAAGCGTTATTATACTGTTCATCTGTGAGATCCGATTTATAAATATATAAATTATATGATTCCTATGGTGTATACGCTTCTATAAGACTTAATTGCACATTGCAGTTCTTTAATTTAAATTTAAAACAAAATTTGATTATTAAATTCACCTTTAGTTTTTATAAAAGCCTTTCATTATAGAAAACTACGACTATTATGGAAAAGTATACGTGAAACGAATGGATAGGGCTTATTCTCGGACATTGGGAGTAATTTTGGAAGGTATAGTAATGTTATTATAATTTTTGATAATAAAACAATAGGTAGAAGGGTATAAGTTTTAAATGTCATCAGTAAATAAAAGTTAAAGAAATGTGCCATGACAAATAATTATAAACCCGTTTAATTAGTAAAAATGTTGTCAGACGACATTTTTACTTACTAAAATTTTATATCATTTATAAACGATTTGTTTAATTGTTTTTCGAACGTGTAAACTTCTAAGCAGACTAATTTTAACATTTCAGTATTTTAAAAACCAAAGAAAACATTTTTACTTTGTTTTACAGATATCAAACAAAACTAATAACTATTACCATGTAGTTTAAATGATTTTTGGGAGTAAAATCAAAGTAAAGTTGTATTGGCATACCCTGACAAACATTCTCACCCCCCCCCCCCCCACAAAGAGTCTGGCAAATTGTATTTCGTTTGGTTATTATCGTATAGTGGATTAATTCCTATTTTGCTTTTAAACCACAGTAACCTGATTAATTGAATATGATTTGTGATTGAACATGATTTTGAATTATTTAGTTAAATTATATTTATTTATTTATAGCTAAAAATAAGAAATTTCCATTGACCATAATGAACGAGGGAAAATTATTTGGTTTCTTTTTAAAATATTCGTATTGCTTTAATTTATAAAATCATCTTAAGTTATAACACACATACTTTAATAAATTAACGTCAACCTTACCCTGTCTTCGAATATTGTGTCGATACGTTCGTTGACGGCTTTGCCTTTTTTGTTTCTGATCAGCAAATAAATGTGTTTGAGATTTGGACAAGAGCGGCTGAGCTTTTCAATGACCATCTTGCCCATAAAACCAGTTCCACCAGTTAGGAAGATAGTAGCATCTCTGTAAAATTCTTGGACGTCAGATCCCTTAAGCTTGTCGGCCTCTTCGAGTGTTGCAGGGTCATCGAAACTCCTTTCGCCCACGATTTCCAGCGGGTCCAGAGGATACTCCTCGGTCACAATGTCCTTCATTATTTCATCGTACGACTTCTTCGGTTTGCGTAGCTCATTTTTTCGATGTAGATCTAACGCCATTTTTCTGTGTGAACCAAAATTTGTATGATTAATTTGAAAATAAAACGCGTTACGAGTGCTTCTTACCTGTGCTATAATAAATTTCGTTAACAGAAAAACGTCAAAACAACTTTAAAACAAATGGCAATAAAAAATACAATTTCAAAATACAATATCTAGTTATTCACCAAATATGTGCGAAATCGAGATAAAAAAATAAATTATTTAAAAAAACTCGACTACGGTATAAAAAAAATTACTATTAAAATCGTAAAACACACTGCATGACCAACAGGGCCCAGCACTTGTGTATACTTCGAGTCTTGAGAGACGTCTGAGTATATTATATACAAAGTTCATCTACATATTATTGACCGCCGTCCTTGGAGTCCTTACCACATGGTCCTCTTCGGATCGTTGGCCGTGGGACCCCTCCTAATCGTATATTGCCGATAAACGAGTTTAATAACTAGTTTGCATGGTCAAGGCTCTGTCTCTTTAATTAGAGTTTTAGGTTTTGATTTTTATTAAAAAAATGTCGTTATTACATTTGCGCACGACATATAATAGATTACAATAGTTGTTACCTACATTTTAAAATGATAAATATACTAAACTTTAAAAAATTAATAAACATAATTTTTAATTTTTTTTTATTTAATAAAACCGGTCATAAAACATCTAGCGATCAAACTAGAATATGTTTTATTTTTATATTAACTACTATTTTAAAAATATTATAACTATACTCAATTAGAAAATTAATAAATTATTACAATTTTCACATTTTTCGTATTATCAAAATTTGTTTAATTTGAACTGAAATTTGACTGGAAATCAAATGTCTAATGACACAAATGGTTTAATAGTATTTCCAAACATAAAAATATAACAATTATACATACACTTTTCCCAAACCTCAACGAAAAAATTAGATTTTCATTTAACTGCGTGAGTTTAAATTAAAGATAAGGTAAAATTATAATTATAATAATAACCAAATACATATAGCAATATAAATACTATTGACGATGATAAATTCATCCATTAATTAGTTCATTTATTAAGGTCATTGCTATGCTATAAATTGTATTATTTATTTATAGTATTTTATTTATTTATTATTTAAAATCACGGACTTAAGTCCAATTACAAAGAATATATGACAGTCTAAACACATAAAGAAATATATAAAGTAAAGAAAGATAAATTAATAAAAAGAACAATAATTAAAGAATATTTACATTAACAAAATAAATCTAAATCACTATTAACACTATTACCGGTGGTTGACAAAATATTAACTGGAGAAGATGACATATAAGTTTTTGGGTAAAATGGAATACGAAATAAAAATATTATTACGTGTGTGACGTGTATGAACCTTAAAATTAATCTGACTTAACAACAATGGGTCATCAATATTGTTATTTAATAGTTTTTTTAAAAAGGAATAATAATAATCAATTCTTCTATCTTGAAGAGATTTTAGATTAAAAAAATTAAGAATATCTTTATAACCAGAATGCTGAGGCCTTTCTATGTTACATTTGAAGCAAATGTATCTGAGAACGTTGTTTTGGACACCTTCGATCAGGTTAGAAAGGCCAATATTACGAGTTTCCCAAATAATCGTTGCGTATTCCAAATGAGATCTTATCAGCGACGTGTATAAACATTTAAAAGCTATTGGGTCGTTGAATTTAGAGCAATTGCGTTTAATTAGGCCAAACATAGAAAGGGATTTATTTTTAATGGATAATACATGATGGTTAAATAAAAGTTTGGAATCAAAAAATATACCAAGATCTTTAATTAAGGAGCGACGTGAAAGTTTAAGATTAGAGAGACTATAAGTGTAACTAATAGGATTTTTTATTTTAAAGAATAAAATAGATTGACATTTAGCTATATTCAAAGACATCCCGTTACGAACGCACCAGTTATTAAAACTATCCAAGTCCCTTTGTAGCAAATCAGAATCTGATGGCGACTTAATGGATTGAAATATCTTAGCATCATCTGCTAATAATAATATGTTTGAATATTTAATGGAAAAAAACTATATCATTTATAAACAAGTTAAATAAAAGTGGTGATAAATGGTCCCCTTTGAGGGACACCGGAAGTTACTTTAATTTCCTTAGAAATATAGTTTTTAAATATTACACGCTGGTTTCTTTGGGTGAGGAAAGAATGGAACCAAGATAATAATGGGTCAGCAAAACCAATCTTCTTGAGTTTTATAATTAGTAAATCATGATCAATCCTATCGAAGGCTTTTTCAAAGTCTGTATATATTACATCTGTTTGTTCGCCTTTTGTAAAAGAATTAAGTAAGAATTGTTTGAAGGATATAAGATTAGTAACGGTTGATCTCTGTGAACGAAAGCCGTGCTGTTGTGGTATAAGAATATTTTTAAAGATAGAGATTAGCTTAGAGTTTACAATTTTGGAAAATAATTCCGGGATAATAGATATTTTTGATATAGGCCGGTAGTTAGAAATTAAGTTCTTATTACCTTTTTTAAATGCAGGATTAATAAAAGTAGATTTCCATAATGAGGGAAAATAACCATTATGCAGTGAATTATTAAAAAGATATTGAATTGAGCGAGAGATAATAAATCTACAATTATACAAAAAAATTGGTGATAAGCCGTCTGGCCCAATTGCAGTATTATTATTTAAGATATTTAATTCTGAAAAAACATCAAGAAGATTAATTTCACAGTTGGTGATTGGATCAAATGTTTCATGCACTGGGTAGGAATCAAGAGTGTTTGTTAAGTATTATTTTTCTTTTTATATACAGAAGGGAAGTATACACTAAATAAGTCAATTATGCTTTGAGCATCGTCGGCTAAATTACCATTGAAAGATAAAGAGCTAGGGAAACTTGGAGAAGATCTAATATTTTTTATAAAATACCAAAACTTAATAATAAAGAACGAAAAAAGACATCTAGTCTGTATGGCTATCAGATAACAACTAACAATAATTAAGTATTCACTATGTTTTAAAAGAGAAGCACTATTTATAATATTATGAATTATTTATAGAAGTGTTCAATTTTTTTGTCTAATATTTTACTTTGCAATGTAAATTAAGTTTGTTTTTAGGTCTAAGGACTGATCCTTGAAATATATTTAAATACTTTAACTAAAAGTTAACTATTACCCTTCATAACTAATTATAAACCTGTCAATATTTTGAACAGCTTATTTTTATTTGTTTAAATAAATCAGTTCGCATATTCTTTAATTAATTACTTAATATATAATATAGATTATTAAAAAAATATATGATTGAAATATTTCCTGTTCCAGAATATAACCTGGATAGTATATCTTAAAGCATTAAAAAAAAGTCATAGTATCAATTATCTTTCCACACGTCTGTCCTTTCGAAAAAAACGTTAATTGATAAGAACTATTCGTAGGTACGATTTGTTCAATTTTCATGGATGTGTTAAAAGTGGATTTGTATAAATATATACATGAAGCACAGTAAGGCAATAAGGATTTTACAAACCATCAATTTTTTTTTTTTTGTATGTAGGTAGTTGTAAACATAAAATTCCATCTAAGCTTTCTGGTTATATATATAATTTTTTTTAAGCAACTTACCTCCATAATGAACTGTGAATTATAATTTATTCGACTATGAGGAAACATCTCTAAAATAATCATGTTATCTTTTCGAAATTTTACTATATGGATATTTTGAATAGCTTTTTTTATTATATTTGTTCACAAATTATTATTCATGTGCATTCTTGAAATGTTCTATGACTGCTAATGGTAGTCGTACTTAAGAAAAGTAAAATTAAGGTATTTATAAATATTAGCTAAGACGTATGTATTGAAATTTATCTTCCTTTAAAACAACGGATAAACAGCTCGTACTAAAACGAAAAAATGTTGGGAAAATACATGTCCATCTTTAACTTAGATATGTATAATATCAAAACGGGTCCATACTTTAATCATATTTTTTTACTTACTTTATGAAAAAAACAATAATAATATATATATATTTTTTTTTAATTTTACCAAAACACGATTAATCATAAAACAATAATAAATACAGTTATTTGAAACTATGCGGATACTTTTAAGACACCTGGTCTATTAATGTTTGTGTTATAAGAAAAAATGATTTAATGTTAATGTTAATTATTTAAACGTTGAGTAATTGGTAGTCATTTTTATTTTTTTCTAAAACAATTTAGTTATTTTGAATGATAATTTATTTTGCATAATTAAGTAAAAATTTATATTTTATTAATATAAAACAATTTTAATAAGATTTATTTACATTTTTAAAGATAAAAAATTATTCTCATATTCAATTAAAAAATATTATCTATTTTTTTTTTTTTAATTTTTATCACTCATATTTACCCCTAAAATAGAGGTTTTTAAGTTATTTTTCAGAAAAAATAGATTTCGACCAGTTTTAAAATTCAAATTCAAATTTAAAAAAGGATATATATATATATATATATATATATATCAATAGATTATAGCAACACTGACACGTGTAAGTACAAGAACCTTGGAGAGTTACAATTCTTTAAACTTTTTTAAGCCCTTACAAAGAGAGTTACCAATCTAGCGAAGTTCTAACTACCGAGTACCGAGCCTTTTAATCTATTCGAGTTTTATGGGAGATTTAAGGGGTTTGAAGAATCTAAACAAATCAAGGGATTTCTTAATTTTAAGTGTTCAGTAGTATTGATTAAAGAAACCATCTTTAGATCTAAAGATGGAACTTTATCGGGACAATTGAAAGCCAAAATTACCCTAATTAAAAAAGCTTTGCCATTTGTAGAGTCACCAGTAATTGTATGGCTAGTTGTGCGTTCATCTGAGGTATATCTTTTAAATAAAGGTTGGGCTACTACTGCACCTTGAGGGGCTCTAGTATAGTAAAGGGTTATTTCAGATATCACTAGTTCTGAACGATAACGAAGTGTCTTGTCTTCTAAATATTAAATAGTAATAAGGTGAGGGGATAGATTTTAATTTATAAAAGAGGCCTTGGCGCTACTCATCTACTAGACGGTGAACTTGACGAATGGTACTAGGGTTACTATGGCCGTTGCCTATCATTAGTATATATTAGGTATATTTGCCTCAACCACTAAAGGAAAACATTTTTATTGTCAATTCAAAATGTGTTAAATAATTATCGATAGACACGAGTCAACAATATATTAAAAATAATGAGTAGATCATATTAGCATTAGGGACAGTTTATGTCACATGTTGTGAATTATACGTACAATATACATTTTTTTTTTCATATTTATTCATACCTTTTTTGTCTAGTTATGTA